TCCGTGACATCAAAAATGACAGAAGCTTTGCTCTTTCTATGGAATTTTCGCTTCATTAAATTACAGCATCAAAGTAGATGTCTGTCCAAATCGCTCTCGAAAGCAGAATTTCTATTTAACGTTGAAACGAGAGAGTTGTTTTTGCCTTTTGTCTGCCGCTGTCATTCCCGTATTTCCTAAATGAAGTTTTAATTACCTTTTACGAAATGAAGTCAACAAGCTGAGCCTAACTTTACAATCCCCCCTGGAGAGTCTCAAATTAAAAACCCTATTATATTATAAAACGTGCAGGCAAATGACTGCTGCGGTGTTTGAGAGTATTGATTGATAAATGAAGCACTTCTAATTCTTACACCTTAAAATATTTCGAGTGAAAAAGGGGAAATTGTTAAATAATTAACCCGTTGAACATTTATAATTTGAAGAGATATAGAAAATGTTAACTTCATTACTAAAGTTGTGTATTCAAACTCTCTTTAAAGACACTACAAACTCAACGATCAGCTAATAATTTGATCGGATTAATTGATTTCAAAACTTTAGTAACTGATTAAATAGTCGACCGATTAACAACTTTCACACTTTCACTTTCCAAATGTACTGAACTTATACTTTTATTGGTGCAATGAAAGTGAAATTTTAGCAGGGGAGGAATGTTGTACGATCAGCTGAGATAAATGCTGCCCCATTTTATATGAGTTTTGTGTAGGTGTCTTTTAATAAAAGGAAATAAACAGAAAATACCACTGTACATTTGTCGGTTTAGCACCTAAAAGTTATTAATCATATGTAGGTTCAGTCATTTATTCCGTTAGGTTTTACAATTCCGTCAACCGTAAAAAAATCATTAATAAACCTCTAAAAACAACGAGTTGAATAGATGGTTCCATCTACGGACATTATGCTAATACCATTAGTAATATCCGTTATCATGGGGTGCGTATATCGACAACGTTCAAAAACTCAAAACGTAAATCAAAATTTGAAATGGATTATATGCAATGCTTTATGCCTATGAAATATATTTCCGAAAGAGTTCACTACTTTGTCTTTCCATTGATGGAACTGAGCCAAAAATTCTCTTCAAAGATTGGTCATTTTATCACATTCCGACAAACATAATTAGAATTGATTAAATGTGTGTTAACCCTCGTAGGTGCTTTTGAAAATAAAACAATAGAAATGCTTCTTAAACGCCACTGAAAGTTATATGCCAAGATTTCCGAGCAACTAGCAAGCAGAATAATCAAACAAGGTAATTCATTCATTTTGAAGATCTTTAACAGGACTGAACTACCCTAAAAGTAAAGGATATGTTCCTTTCCAGCAATAAAATATAAATCAATGAGAGACAATTATAATAGAAGACATTACGCGTTTGTTACTCCTAGTAATTGACAAAATACTCTGTCCCAAGTTAATGTTTTGTACCAGCGCATCAAAGTCACATTAAACAAAATACGCGCCCCATTACTTACTATGAGTGACAGACGCGTGGAACCGGAATAACTATTCAGCATGCCAGTATACAAGATTTTCTGCAATTTAAAATTCTGCACCGATTGAAGCAACGTTAGTGTTCTAAAAGTGTCAATTGGCAGCCATGATTTACAACTAATGAAGATTTCACGTGCGTTACCTGTCATGGTTAGGCTTATCCACACGTAAAACTAAGACAGCCGTATACCAGGATGGAATGAAGAACTTGGGGTCTCCCTTCTGACAGACAAATTGGTCTGAGGAAGTCATCGTGGTGCCTGAAGGTTAACGAGGCGAATAACTTCCAGGCTTGGGCATATCCGACATTTGTGCATTCAACTCGAGTATTAACTAAAGACCAGGTTCCCCACTGCACTGCTCCCTAACCCAGCATACGGGCTATAAAACAAACACCGTCATTCTCGGCACCAAATGGCGAGAGAGGGGGCGAAGTCAGACTCCTGAGTTCCGATATAGGCGTTCCGGTGGTCATCGCCTACTCCAAACCACCCCTAGCGCGACATCCGTTTTGCCGTCTACGCTACACCCTTCAGCCTCCTAGCTCGTCCAAACTAGGATGTTTTTCGCCTCTACTCTGTTTTCGTTTGCAGCCCCCTTAATGGACCAGACCATACAATCCACGTATAGCTAGTCAGTCCTACACGTCGTAATCCCCCTAATGGGGCAGGCTACCCTTAATTCTGTGACGCCATCCGATACACACCACTATGCCAGAAAACTTACATTGCCTTGAGCATTGACGTGGAGGCGACCACTCGGAGGACCTCCATGTGAAGGTGTCGGTAACCGCACCTGGAGAACCTTCCTTTCGACGGCAAATATATAATCACACCGGACAGGTGGTTCCGGTCCTTCACCCTTGTCCGTAGGCTACTTTCCACCTGCATTCTGCATCCTGGTGTAACACCCGTCATTACGTACAGAGCCCCCTTCCCCGCCACCACGACATGGTAAGGATTCTGGGAGGGGGATACAGACTTACGGAACATAATGGATCTTGAATTCTTCTTTCTTTGGATCTATAGTTCATCTACGACATCGAATAATTTTGTGTAAGGATTTTTGCCGATGCCGAGCGTTCTCTCAATTTCGCTCAACTACACCATTCATCACCATACAACTTGACGCATACTTCTTTATCAAAAATTAATTTCAAATTCATGCTGGTGAATTAAGCGTATTATCACATTCTGGTCCAAAACTCGAGCAGAATTCTAACCTCATTTCCCAGCTTGCCGATCGAACACTTCCACGAATTACTGTAATCATTTCAGTTGTCAGATCTGATTTAAACTTCGCAAGAATTGTTAGTCATAAACAGAAAAAAGTACAATAACTCTACCTCGAATCGTAACTGTTTCCCATTTGTCTATTTGCCACCATTCGTTTCGAGTAGCTCTCCAAGAAAATGTTCAATAACTTTTGCTTGTTTTCCATTTCGGAGTTCTTACTTTTCATAAGTTTGTTCTAGTTACGGTTGCCGTCCCCTTTCTCTGGCAACGATCCAGTTCGTTATTCACTTTAATTTCATCGAGTTCGCGAAAGGGAACGCTTTACATTATAGTTCCTTCTATATACACATAATATGGATATATTTATGTAATAAGTACATTTATAGCGTGTATTTGCCAACGTAGGTACATGTAGGTAATTGCGCCAAGTAATAAGTAGGCAGACTACTAAGTTCTACTCTACCTTGAAAACCTGCATCTAAGGAACAACTCGAATGAAACTAAATGTTAACTCGGAGTTTCCAATTTATGAAAAGACTGCAGACGACGATGTACCTACAGATCGCATCTTTGAATATGAAAAGCAAGATCTTGCTTGGAATTGCTCATCCGTGTCGTAAATGCAGGATAATACTCCTGAAAACCAATTTGCCAAAATTAAACACGTTTGAAGAAGTTGAAGACTTTGCTCCAGTGGTTTGCAGATGCACAGTTATTAAATTTCCAAGTGACATGTAAGTGTTAATTTATTAGGTCCAAGGAATACAGACAAATAATATTATTAGTCTAGTAATTCATGTAGAAAAAATTTTGTGAGTTCGGTTATACACAAACTGTCAATAATGGATTTACATATTATAGTTAATTGCATAATTAAAGGAAATTTAGAGGTTCACTCTTATTTATTTATTAACATCATGGGATGGTTTTTCTGACAACGAGTTTTGTCGGAGTTAGATGCCGTGAAAGACAGAACGAAACCGAATTAATTAGAGGAAGTTTATGAACGGAAGAACATAATACGGCTTTGTTCTCATAATGCAATAATACGCTCTGTACCAACAACCCAGCTATGACGTGTCTATGATACCAAATGATTATATACGGGCTTTGTAATAGGGGTCGCTCAAGTCAACTGTACTTCATGAGTTCGGCTTAATTTTAGCAGTCTATGACAAATGACGCCTAATTGCCCCAATTTTCAAACTGGTCGTGATGGGTTGTGTTAGGAGCAAGAACACTAAATATAGATAGCGAATGGGTTGAAGGATAGAAAGTACAATCGTCCGTTGCGCGATGGGCGGCTGCACATCTACCATTCGTTAAACACAAAACCTAAACCAAAACTTCTTTCCTGCGTACAAATCGGATGCGCAATAGACCCTTGAGCACAACTTGGTGCCGTTCTTACGGTTCGCACCATAGATTATACAGGTCAAGTAGTTAGTAATCCTATCTCTAGTCTTTTTTTATAAACGTGCAACAGGTAAATGCTTGCACTACCTTAATGGAATGCGGTACGGTTTAGAGATTTAGACCATTGCTTATCGTTAGAATTCGGGAAGGTACCAGTTCAAAATTTTTGTAGCAAATGCTAGGGTAGTAATGCTATTTCACGTCTATCCGTCACGTCTTTCTTATCCAAACCATCTCCAACTTATTCTCACGATTACTAAAAAGAAGAGGGTCTTCCGCTCTACCCTCCGTGGTAGTCTAGACTGCCCACGCCCCCGCATTAGTACCTAGTAGGAATGGAACATCCAAAGGCTTTCTTTTAATGGAATGTATTGGTTTTAATGTATATTATTACCGAGCAGCATGACCTAGAGGTTTAGAATTCTGGGTTCATCTGCCATGGTTCAAGTTTCCTTGGATCACTTAGGCAAATGCTGGGGCAGTAATATTCCACAGATAAATCTTTCATTCTCCTCTGTTTTCATTTCTTCAGTTTCATCTTTCCAACCCAAACCACCACCCACCCATTTCAACGATTCCTGAAAGGAGGCTGAAGAGGGTCTTCCACCCTACCTTCCGGCGTAGTCCGGAGGGACTCCCCGCCCATCAGCATTAGTAGTTGATGGAAATGAAATGTTTTTTTAATGTATATTAAACATGCTTTTAATAAATACCAGACATACTATTAAAACTGAAAAGACTTAAATGTGTTGAAGACAACTTTAGGTTGAGATTTATAAATGAACTATTTGTCATAGTGGTAAATTCTTCTCTGAACCTTTTAAATCTAATGTCTTCTTTTTCTTATTGCAGGTGGAAAAGTGCCTCAAGACAGGACTATAGTGAGGAAAGTGCTTAGAACTCTTTCACTTTCGTTATTTGTGTGCATGTGTATCATATCGAGTGTTGGAATTATCATCGCCATTGCATTAATTGTTTTCAACACCTGGAATAGCCATCGCAGGTAAGTTACTGTGTTTAGGCCTTAGGGTTTGGCCTACATAACTTTTAAGAGAGTAGGATTGACTTTTATTTCTTTTTTTATGTTATTTGTTTACCCATCATACGATACTTATTTGTAATAAAAAACAAATTGAATTTCTTGTTTTTCGTTCCATTGTAATCAAATTTTCTTTGCGAAGGAGACTTGTAACATACTCCAATTTCATTTCATGTCTTTAATGTCAATAATATGAAAAATGCTATGAAGTGGTAGTAATTAATAATACTTATGATTACGTTAACTGATGCTAACGTTTCGCCCTTGCTAAAGACTTCCTTAGCATCACTCACGATGATATTTATATTAAGATCAGTGAGCAATTTAAAAATAAGTGAAAAATGTTAAAAATATATCTAAAACAACACGTTATTATTGTGTTCCAGGGTTATTCAATCATCACATCCTATTTGCAATACGATAATGTTACTTGGAGTGATAGTGTGTCTGATTAGCGTGTATCTTCTTGGACTTGACGGCAGGTTCGTTTCACCAGAGTCCTATCCGAAAATATGTCAAGCGAGAGCATGGCTCCTTACCATAGGATTCACTTTAGGTTATGGTGCCATGTTCAGTAAAGTATGGCGCGTTCATAGACTGACAACTAAAGTAAAAAGTGATCCTAAAGTGAGAATGGTAAGTGGGCAAGCATATTAATTTCTTTCGAACGCATCTATTTAACTTATGTACATATTTATTTAGAGGTTACGTATGCGCGCGCAATTTCCTCGGCCCGTTAAAACTATGCTGTCAATTCGCCAAAAGAAGCATAAGTTCAAAACATAAATGTATTTTGTAGATACTAAAGGTACCTATGTGAACAATAGCAGAAACACAGAAAAGAGGCTTTCCTGAAAAAATGGTTCCTACACAAATTAATTAATTGGGTTTCCTTCAGAGTCAACCAACCGACGGGGAAAGGAATCCTCAAAATCAAATTTCATTAAAAGGTTTTTAGTAGAAACAGAAAAGGAGCACGCATATCGACTTTAGAAAAAGGAAATAATGAACACTCCGCGCCATCTAATGTTGACAGTACTTACAAAAGGCCGGAAATAACTATCTTTTACTCAAGTTATGCGCCATAATGTACCTACATCTTGGAAAATTAAATAAATTTATTATTTTGTAGAGATTTATCTTTCTGTTTTTATTTTTGTTACCACTTTTCACGGCGTGCTATGTATAGTCACTGTTGCCAACCTACTACAGGAAAAAGTCCCACACATATAACTTATTACTATTATTATTTTTTAATTTGTTAATTTAATCGTTTATTCGAAGAAAAAAATATACAATATTTCTGTAAACATGGACAACTTTTCGTGTCGATAGCATAATACCGATAATTTTATTGTATGTAACTATCTTGTTTCCCAAAAATGCAGACAAAACCAGACCTTAGGGGTTTAGATGTTCGGATTTCGGAACAATACCTACACCAACTCAAACATTTATTTTTATTAGTTTTAACATCTGTTTCTACTCTGTTGACTGGTCACTCTCAAGAAGACCATACAATGATACGAAAACAATATACAATTCAAAAGAGTTCAAGACAATTTATTGTAGGGTCTTGAGCAGGTACGTGCAGGCTTCACCAGTAGGCTTGAACGCACATCGCCGTCTATATCAACCGTTTCATCGTACAGCATTATACGATTATAGCTGACAAAATTTTACGTTTACAATTAGAAAAATGAGCGCCTTCATAATATAATATCAGGTCAACAAAATCAAACAAAACCAACCAGAAAATGGCAAATTACAAAAAATCCCGCAAAAATAAGGAAAAATCCCTTTAATAGAAAGTTGTTTA